AAGATAAAATTCTATCGTATACTCTCACCAGTGGGGTCCCAGAGCTAGCTGGCCCTACACCAACAGCAGAGGAAAGAAACGAGAGGTGCGACACTAGCTAAATATATACTAGTGCTGAAAAAGTATATATTTGCTATATCATTGACTTCAAATTGAACGAGGTAGACACCTGAGGCCAAAACTTAGCATTGAACAAAGAAAATGCAATAAATTACTGCAATAAATTAGAAGATAAACTGCATCTTTCACAAAAGATTTTGAATCATTATTTAAAATCACCAAAATTGCTTTACCTGTAAAACTGTGTCTAGATCGATATTGTCACAAACTTCATATCTACTCAAAGTGATACTTGCTTCTCTTTCTAAATTATTAGCCGACTCTCTGTAACCTTCCACATTCAAATAATGTAATATCAACAACAATAAGTTCTTCTTTCTTTGTTCATGTCGTTGTTCTTCCTGCGATAAAAAACATGCTCACATTAAAGTGCCTGAGCAATGCAGAATATCAACTTTCGTTTTGAGAGCTATCATGCTCTTAGTTATGACTTTGTTGCAAATGCATGCATTCAGGAGAAAAACGGCGATTACTTTGGCATTTGGAACATAGCCCCTGGCTTGTAATTCAGGATTTCTACTACCGGTAATCCATAGGAATAATTTTTTTTTTTCATTCAGTGCAACCTTTTGCACTTTTGCACATGACACTTTTCATAATGGTACAATGATGTATTGTTGAGAAAATCGTGTTTGTAGGAATGGTGTGTTAAAAGTATTACTGTAAAATATGTACTAGAAACCGCGGCTTCTATTAAAATGGTACAATGCAACAGAGGGAATGCGGCTTCGATTAGAGCATCTACACATATGAGAAATGGTGAATTTTTGGGTCTCAATTGTTCAAAAAGAATGGGTGCGGCTTCTATAAGGGATGCAGATTTTACGGTATGTGTCTTCTAATAAATGCAACAGTTACTGTATTTGCAAAGTATCACCTTGCCAATACTAGACGAATATATCACAGAGCAATTTCGTATTTGGTTATCATTGAATTTTCAGTGTTTTAGAGTATTGTCAAGTCATGGAATCGTATACAGAATTCTCTCTTTGATGATTGTAGATAGACAATATTACTTAATCAATATTTGATGTGAAGCATTTTTAATTAACACAACACTTACTAACACTGTTTACATATTACATATTTTCTAGGACAGTTGTGTTTAATGCTTAATTGATGCACAATTCAAATAGCAATACATGACATACATTTATTGTACTGAAAACAATAAAAAACTTTGCTAATAGTATGAGATTATTCACAATATACTGGAATAACTCTTGATTTGATTGTAGTTACTCAAAAATGAAATGGCTTTCAACTAAGTTTTGCCGACAATGTATGTAGTATGGCCCAGCAATATTGAAGTTACTCTGGACAAAAAAGTATTTCTTTATTCACCTGTTCTAGTGTTTTAAATTTATTTATGTCATTTATGACCTAAAGTTATAATTCTGAAAGTAAAATTTGGGACCGACCAAACACCCAAATGACACAGCACCTACTTTTTGATGAATTTCACACTGACAACCACTTAGATGGAAGTGATAAATCATTGCTGAAATAAATATCCTCTTGCATCACATCTGAACATGAATGGTTCAACTCTGACCCAGTTCAATATTATTGCACACTGTAAAATGTCTTTTTGAAATGAGCAATTTAAAAAGTCTGAGTCAACTGAACATGATGTTACATGAACTTTTTTGGTTTACCATTTTATACTTCCTCAGAAAGAAACTACTACTGACTGGTACATAACGCAAATTTGCCTGGGTTGACATGATCCAAACTGGATCTATGTAAATAATCCTTCTGTTTATGAATGGTTTGGCCAAATAAAAATCTTCCCTCACATTCTTATTATCTGAATATGTACAAATACTGGTGTATGATTGCAGTGAAGACATGTTGCATCAAAAAACATCAAAATTAATTAAAGTTTCAAAACTAATTTCACTTTATTAAAGTCAGATACTATAAATAACTAT